CCACAAAGTTGAGGGGACCTGCCGATAGTTTTTCTGGGAGCTACACAAAGGTAGTAATCCTAAAATGAATCCTGTTTTCTGTTAAGGAAATTGTTCTATAATAAGACAGGTCCTTTCTAAAGCTTGAAATAGAGATGTTAAAAAGTAGTTAATTAGGAAACCATGTAACCACTGAAAATCTTAGTAATTACACAGTTACATGCTGTGGGCTGTGCACTTTGAAGCTTATACTGCAAAGCCCGCAATGCATCTGACTCCCCAGGAGTAAAGCTAGCTAGCTCTACTCCCAGAGAGACAGCTGCACTTCAGGTTCTGCAGTAGAAGTGTTACGCTCAGAGCATACAGTGTGGGGCGGCATGTGGCTCCCCCAGAGCTGGTGCATACCAGAAGCCAGCTCTTAAGCTGGCTCCAGGTGCCTGTTGTCCCTGCTCCTAGGGAGCTGGCTGCTGTCCCATGCTCTTGCCTCTGAAAAGGAGGCAGCAGTGTGGGACGGCAGCTGGCTCCCTGGGAGCGGTGCTGGGAGCCTGCATGTAACCTTTAATGTTAACCCATAAGCTCAGGCTTGTTGGTTAATCATTTAAACAGTTCTACTAATTACATCCCTAGTTTGAATTATTTGCAGCATTCTTGTAAGTAATTGAGGCAGAAACTACAGGCTTGGACTGAGAATAAAGACTAAACTATCGTCTGACCCCTAGAATGTAGGGTTTTTTTTAATACCTTAAAGTTTGTCTTTATACATTTAGATGATCTGATACTATATGGAATGCAGGAGATCTTTTATATGAGAAACTGTAGAATCAGACACTTGTACTTATTTCTGAAATGACTCCAAATCCTTTGTTATTTTCTACACAGTATGGGGATGTCCCAAGTGTAAAAATATATTGATATTGGCAGGATGACCTCTGTAAAACACATTCCTTCCTCGCACCTATTTTTCTTCTCTAACTTTGAGTTCCTTTACCAGTATTAATGAATCACTCACATAAAGAGCCTAAAAAAATGGCAGCATGGATTTGTGGGAGATGTAAAAGAGGAATCTTACTGTTGTAGAATTCAAATCAACACTTTCTATTAAATCTTCCATAACAGGTAGACACTCAAAATATAATATCTTCCAACCAGCAGATGCACAGAATTGCTAATTGGTCTGATGATATCATCCCTCATATATGGGACTAGCTGGCTTCCAAAGCACAGTTGTTTTTACCTCCCGCAGGAGCAGCATGTATATTCTTGCCCCTAACTGAAAGTAAGGTCTAAACAAAGGAAAGAATGGAGTAGGCGTCAGAGGACTTCCAATCACATGCTGGTATGCAGCTGCCTCAGCTACAGTACTTGGGGCACCAAAAGACTGCAGCCGTTTTGGTTCCATGACTAATGAAACAGCAATCACAGGACTGCAACATGCATTCTAGCTGATTTTTGCTGAAACTCAAGGGACAGGAACCACACACAACACTTGAATTTTCAGACAGACAAGTCAGCATTTCTGGGCCCTTCTGGCTGAGTTCTTAGAGAAGCTCAAACACAAAGGCAACTCTAAGGAAAGGGGAGGTGTTGCAGGAGAGAGAAGGAATGGGAGTGAAGCAGATAGATGAAGCAACCCCTTGGGGGAGAGATTTTTCATCCTTCTAGAGCTCAGCCTTTAGCTCCCCATATACCATTGCACAATGATCTTGGATAACTTTTGCTCCAGCTCTGGGCTGTAGGCCCTGTGGTATGCAGACTCAGGCTCAATATTGTCCTCAGATCTGACCTAACTTATTCCATCATCTCCACAAAGAAGAGTTAGAGGATGCTGGTGCTTTTGTTTCTTCAGAAAAACACCATCAGGAAGCCTCGCTCATCACTTTTGTATCAATATTCTTATACACTGAGACATTCTGACCTCTTCAGAGAGCCCTGGAGATGAGTAAAGAACCATTCTGTGTGCAGCATTTGCAGAAGCCAGTCCAGCTCATTCCCAGCCACAGAGACTTGGGGAATTGAGCAGCACAGAGCATTTATATGAGATACCAAGAGAGAAGACAAAAAGTTTCCCATTTTTCTAAGATGTAAACATATTGTATCTTATTGGAGGAGTCCTTCCGTCTCCCAGTTGGGACTATTTAGCCCCTTTCACCTCCCAGCTCCTACATCTTTCACCTCTGAAATGCTTCTGCCTCTGTCCTAAGTGGAGCAATAACAATCTCAGGAAAAACAAAGGCCCTTTACTTAACTAAAGAGACATGTCACAGAGCTCCTCTGATATCTGGTATCCAGAGCACTACAGGCTTATAGAGAAACAGGCTTAGGAGTTAACGAAAAGAGAATAGTTACAGAAATGTAGCCGTGTTAGTCTGGTGTAGCTGAAACAAAAAACAGGACTATGTAGCACGTTAAAGACTAATAAGATGGTTTATTAGGTGATGAGCTTTCGTGGGCCAGACCCACTTCCTCAGATCAAATAGTGGAAGAAAATTGTCACAACCATATATACCAAAGGATATAATTAAAAAAATGAACACATATGAAAAGGACAAATCAAATTTCAGAACAGAAGGGGGATGGGAGGGAGAAGGTAAATGTCTGTGAGCTAATGATATTAGAGGTGATAACTGGGGAAGCTATCTTTGTAATGGGTAAGGTAATTAGATTCTTTGTTCAAACCTAAGCGTAAAGTGTCAAATTTAAGCATGAATGAGAGTTCAGAGGATTCTCTTTCAAGTGGAGTCTTGAAGGGCTTTTGAAGGAGGATGCAGGTAATCAAGTCGTTGAGACAATGTCCTTTCTGGTTGAAATGGCAAGAAACTGTTTTTTCTTTGTGATCCTGTCTAATATCTGTTTTGTGGGCATTGATCCTTTGCGAAGTGTCTGAGACGTTTGTCCAATGTACATAGCAGATGGACACTTTCGACACATGATAGCATAAATTATATTTCTGGATGCGCAGGAATATGTGTTCTTGATCTTATAATTCACTTGGTTAGGTCCAATGATGGTATCAGCAGAGTGAATATGTGGACAGAATGTCTATTCTGTATAGTCTGATCAGAATGTCTGTCATCTGTATAGAATCATAGAATACCAGGACTGGAAGGGACCTTGAGAGGTCATCGAGTCCAGGCCCCTGCCCTCATGGCAGGACCAAATACTGTCTAGAGACCATCCTTGATAGACATTTATCTAACCTACTTTTAAATATCTCCACAGATGAAGATTCCACAACCTCCCTGGGCAATTTATTCCAGTGTTTGACTACCTTGACAGGAACCTTTTCCTAATGTCCAACCTAAATCTCCCTTGCTACAGTTTAAGCCCATTGCTTCTTGTTCTATCCCCAGAGGCCAAGATGAATAAGTTTTCTCCCTCCTCCTTATGACACCCTTTTAGATATCTGAAAACTGCTATCATGTCCCCCCTCAATCTTCTCTTTTCTAAACTAAATAAACCCAATTCCTTCAGCCTTCCCTCATAGGTCATGTTCTCTAGACCTTTAATCATTCTCGTTTCTCTTCTCTGGACCCTCTCCAATTTCTCCACATCTTTCTTGAAATGAGGTGCCCAAAACTGAACACAATACTCCAATTGAGGCCTAACCAGCGCAGAGTAGAGAGGAAGAATGACTTCTCGTGTCTTGCTCACAACACACCTGCTAATGCATCCCAGAATCATGTTTGCTTTCTTTGCAACAGCATCACACTGCTGACTCATATTCAACTTGTGGTCCACTGTAACCCCTGGATCCCTTTCTGCTGTACTCCTTCCCAGACAGTCGCTTCCCATTCTGTATGTGTGAAACTGATTGTACCTTCCTAAGTGGAGCACTTTGCATTTGTCTTTATTAAACTTCATCCTATTAACCGCGGACCATTTCTCCAATTTAACCAGGTCATTTTGAATTATGACCCTATCCTCCAGATTAGTCGCAACCCCTCCCAGCTTGGTATCATCTGCAGACTTGATAAGCGTACTTTCTATACTAATACCTAAGTCGTTGATGAAGATATTGAACAGAGCCGGTCCCAAAACAGACCCCTGCGAAACCCCACTTGTCCTGCCTTTCCAGCAGGATTGTGAACCGTTAATAACTACTCTCTGAGTACGGTTATCTAGCCAGTTATGCACCCACCTTATAGTAGCCCCATCTAAGTTGTATTTACCTAGTTTATTTATAAGAATATCAAGCGAGACCGTATCAAACGCCTTACTAAAGTCTAAGTATACCACATCCACCGCTTCTCCCTTATCCACAAGACTCGTTATCCTATTAAAGAAAGCTATCAGATTGGTTTGACATGATTTGTTCATTACAAATCCATGCTGGCTGTTCCCTATCACCTTGCCACTTTCCTAGGCTATGTCTACACTGGCTCGAATTTGTGCAAATACTTTTAACTCAAGAGTTTTTGCTTTAAAAGTATTTGTGCAAGAGAGCATCTACACTGGCATCTACACTGGTGGAGTTTGAGTTAATGTTTGACTGCCGTGTGTAGTTGCGGGCAGTTAGTTCAGACTAGGGGGATTTAAAAATGGCGCCCGGATGGGAAGATGCAAATAAAGCCTGGGATATTTAAATCCCAGGCTTCATTTGCAACTTCGAATACCTACATTAGCCTCCCTAGTTTGAAGTAGGGGGCTAGTGTAGACATACCCTCAACTCTGAAAGGGTAAGGTGAGTGAGAAACTTGTAGCTATCTTGACTGTGTTGGAATACATTTAGTTGAAGCTTGAATTTAGGAAAATTGAACTTATCACTTTGAACCAGTGTGTTAGCAGATCTGACATTTGACTTTTATTGATTGTTCATCTGGGAAGGAGTACAGATAGACAGGACCTTTACGTTACTTCTGGACTAGGAACTTTAGGAAACATTTAAGGCTTCCAAAACTACTTCGTGCCATGTTTTTCTCAAAAGAACAAAATGGTTTAATTTTAATTTTGGTGAAATACTGTATATATTGTATTCTTTTAATTAAATGGATTATTACTTGCAATTTTTTGTAATTACATAGACTGGTATGGTGCGCTGTGATACAGCTGTTGGAACACCTGACTACATATCGCCTGAAGTCTTGAAGTCACAGGGAGGTGATGGCTGTTATGGACGGGAGTGTGATTGGTGGTCGGTGGGAGTTTTTCTCTTTGAGATGCTTGTTGGTGAGTAATAATTTAATTTTGTCAAGTCGGGACTTAAAAACCTCTCTGGTACGTCTAGACTTACATGCTTCTTTCGAAAGTGATCGTATAGACAGCTATAACTTTTTTGAAAAAGCGATCCATTTTTTCAAAAGAGAACACCCAGGCAATCTGGATGTACTTCTTCGAAAAAGCCCTGTTTGCGGTCAATAACATCTTTTTTCGAAAGAGCTCTTTCGAAAAAAGGAGTTCTTCATAAAATGAGGTTTACCTCTGTTGAAAAAACCACTGCGTTCTTTCGATTTAATTTCAAAAGAACACAGCAGCAGTCTAAACGCAGGTGAAGTTTTTTCGTAAAAAGGCCACTTTTTTGGGGAAAAAACCTGTAGTCTAGACATAGCCCTAGAGATGGAGATTCCACTACCTCCCTAGTTAACCTATTCCAGTGCTTCACCACCTTCCTAGTGAAATAGTTTTTCCTAATAGCCAACCTAGACCTCCCCCACTGTAACTTGAGACCATTGCTCCTTGTTCTGTCATCCCTGAGAACAGCCTCACTCCATACTCTTTGGAACCGTCCTGTCAATTACATGCACTTCTTCCCCCTCCCCCTCACTTGTTGCCTCTGTATCAGAGGCAGCAAAAGGGGGCATGTGGGAGGCGGTACCTAGATGCCACGGAGCTGCCTGCTTTCTTCCTCCCCCATATGCTGCTGCTTTTGATAGAGAGGCAGCAACACGGAGGGTGAGAGGGGCAGGTGGGAGCCAGTACACACAGGAAGCCAGCTTTCAAGCCAGCTTCCCAAGTGTATTGGCTCCCATGGAGCCGCTTGCCCCCCTGTGCTACTGCCTCGTCATCAGAGGCACCAGTTGAGTTGGGGCCAGGCGAGGGCTGATACGAGAGCTGATACGTGTGGCTTTTAGGATGGCTCTCTTCACTTGCTGGCTCTGCAGAGCTACCTCCCCTCCCTCGCTATCTCCTACAGCGGCTGGCAGATTAGGTAGGACTAGTGCTCGCAGGACGGAGGCAGCAGTGCAGAGTGGCAGGGGGCTCCCTGGGAGTGGGGCTGGGAGCACACTGGCTGTTGGCCCCACTCCTGAGGACTATAGAATAATCATGTAATCGAAATTATTTGGTGCAGTTACATGATTATTCAATTACAAGGTATCTAACATCCCTGTTCTGGACTAGCCCTTGCCACTTTACCCTGGAACAGAGATTTGCTCATATAAGGCTAATATACTTCCCTTCCGTCACTATCTTACTCCTCTGGCCTGACCCTGTCACACTTGATAGGAATCTTTTATGATGGTGTTGAAGAGAAAAGGGGAAGAGGGTGGGAGCATTGATTGACCATGGAATCTGCGTGTCTGATGAATGACTTCTGCAGGAGCCAAACTAAGACTAATTAGAACCTAGTTGGGAGGTCTCAGCAGAGTCTGAGAGTTTAATTGATACTAATGTACAGGCAGTCCCCGGGTTACGTACAAGATAGGGACTGTAGGTTTGTTCTTAAGTTGAATCTTTATGTAAGTCGGAACTGGCGTCCAGATTCAGCCGCTGCTGAAACTGACTGCCAGTTCTGACTTACATACAGAATCAACTTAAGAACCCCAGGCGTCCCCAAGTCAGCTGCTGCTGAAACTGATCAGCAGCTGATTCCAGGAAGCCCGGGGCAGAGCAACTCTGC